ATCTGGTAAACTCTGGTAGACCGTATGCTATTACCAAGGCCCAAAAAACATCACAAAGAATTTGGTTAACCAGCCAATTTGACACGCTAATTTCAATGTTACGTAAAAGTCTATATGTGAGGGTATATTCTATTTCAAATCGCGATGAGGCAGCCGCGTTGATGAAATAAGTAATCATTCAATGATTCATGCATTCACGAACGCATTTCATACGTAGTTCACATTCAGAAGAAATCAACTAACAGAACACACGTAATGGTATCATTCATCATACGTCCAGCCCCCCTTCTTATATTCCTATACAAGTCATCAACGTACCGTCATCAAGGAAGCGGCACATCTAATATTTATATAGCGACTAGCTGACCCGGCAGATATCGTAGTGCTTCAATCGATAAATAAAAGACCTAAACTTTGTATAAAAAAAACTTAAAACAAACAAAAGGAATCCGTCCGACGGGGGACACATCAAAGGAAAATGAAAATTGTTATTTTTATTTCATTCCGAGCATTTTCATAATATTCATCTACCTTTTAAACCTTCTTTGGACTTCCACAAATAATTCAAGGCCAAAATTAGCCAAATCGGTCCAGAACAGCAATTCATTTTTATATATATAGATAGAAGATAGATAAATAGATTAAGCTAAAGAAAAACTGTTTTTTAGTGAATGGCGGAACGTTCGACGTTAGCGCGGCCGCTGCATGAATGGATCCCACTACTCCATTGAACGTAATGCTTCGCTCTCGCCGTTCCTATTGCAACGTCAATTACGTGCTTAGGTAACTGCACCCCGGTGAGCTCAACGACACTCGCCAATGAAAATGATGAATGGATTTATTAGCTAACAACTTTTTACGTGTCGATTGCAATGCGTCAGTCAGGTGGGTGCTGACGAGAGGTGACGCAACGCCTTCACTTCAAACGAATTAAGACTATGTGGAGTAAACTAGATCGAACATATTATTATTATTTTGGCGGAAATAACACGACGAAAGTTTTTTTATTATTTTATTGCTTAGATGGGCGGACGAGCTCACAGCCCACCTGGTGTTAGGTGGTTACTGGAGCCCATAGACATCTACAATGTAAAACGCGCCACCCACCTTAAGATATAGGTTCTAAGGTCTCAGTATAATTACAACGGTTGCCCCGCCCTTCACACCGAAACGCATTACTGCTTCACGGCTGAAATAAGTAGAGTGGTGGTACCTACCCGCGCGGACTCACAAGAGGTCCTAACACCAATAATTACGCAAATTATAATTTTGCGGATTTGATTTTTATTGCACGACGTCATTCCTTCACCGTGGAAATGAATCGTGAACATTTGTTGAGTACGTATTTCATTAGAAAAATTGGTACCCACCCGCCTGAGATTCGAACACCGGTGCATCGCTCAACACGAATGCACCGGACGTCTTATCCTTTAGGCCACGACGACTTCAAAGTGACGAACTTGAAACTAAAGCGATGTTGTGTTTCATTATGCGCAGGTGAATACGACGGCCGGTACATTTCCACTTATGTCAATGACTAAGTTTTAGACATAGCGTGCAAACGTGCCTTATTAGCGTCGTTGTACTAATCAACGCCGTTCTATGCGAACGCACAAGCTCAATGAGCATAGAATATTTTAATTTTCACGTTAATTTCCTACATAATACAAGATATTAACAAAAAAAAACCAGAATACTGACTTCGAGAAAATAAAATGAGAATACCATTACCATTCAACTAAATTAAATATGCATTTTTAAGTATCATTAACTCAAAAAATACTTATTTATCATGGCTTGATAAAACATAAATCGTTATTGAAAAAAAAAGAATCAACAAAATCGATTCACTTAAAAAGAATCCGAGCTGACACACCAAAAAATACAGTCGAATTGAGAACCTCTCCCTTTTTTGAAGTTGAAAAAACGGAAGCCTGACTGAAATTTTTTACCAGTTACATTATCTGTCTTTTAAAGTAAGACAAAATTTATGTATTAATTTTGTTATTAGTAGTCAAAACATAGGTAAATTAAGAAAAACTAAACCTAAACTATGCTCTTTTGACATTATTTATGAGAAAAATACTGGTGGTACCAAATGATTCGGCATATTCACTCAATTTCGAATATTTTTGGAAACTGTACACTTTTAATGTGAAGAGACCATTTGCCTATTTCTGTCGTATAGCAGTAATACGTTTCGGTTTAAAGGGTGGGGCAGCCGCTGTAACTATACTTGAGACCCTAGAAGTTATATCTCAAGGTGGGTGGCGCATTTACGTTGTAGATGTCTATGGGCTCCAGTAACCACTTAACACCAGGTGGGCTGTGAGCTCGTCCACCCATCTAAGCACTAAAAAAATATGTCTGAACTGAATTTAAATTGGGTTCGTTGGACAGCAAGAGCCTGGTGTTGTGTCGAACAAAGAGTACGCGTAGATACGGATACAGCACACGCGCGTGCCGGCAGTTAGGAAACTGTGTGTGATGATGACTAACGCGCTCCGTCATCACTGTCGATACCGAGAATCAGTTTATTTATTCGATTGGTTCTGCTCTCTGGACTCGACCCACGCTCTGAGCAAATAATCAACCGTTCGCTCCACGAGATTCATGGTGTAAATTCCCAGAAAGCGGCATCTTTATGTATCGTATAATTTTCCATGGCCAGACTTCTGAGATACGAACAGATGAGACTAGACTACTAACTAACTTAGTTGATTTTATTGGTGATGGTATTGTGGGCTCGCATGCATACATACCACCACCCTGGCACATGTGATATCTAATGGCACCAGCAATCGCTTAGGCGGCCTTGAAACTAGAGCAGTAATAAATAATTCGTAGGCAGCGGCTTGGCTCTGCCCCTGGCATTGCTGAAGCCCATGGGCAACGGTAACCACTCACCATCAGGTGGGCCGTATGCTCGGCTGCCTACAAAGGCAATAAAAAAATAAATAAAAAAAAACACCACCTACCCTAAGCATTCTACTTTGTAAATTTCGAATTATCTAACACTTTTGATAACAATACGGACAAAAAAATTATAGATTATAGATATAGATAGTATAGATATAGATTTTTTTAAATCAACAACATTGTTGATTCGCTCAACCGTTTATACTATTCTATTCGAATAACATATGAGGCCGTCAGCGCAAAAATCGCCTAACCCACAATTTTTCATATTCGTGTTCATATATTGCAATTTATTTAAAACGTAATAAATGTTGATCAAAAACCGGCCTATCCCCAATTTCACCCATAGATAACAGATTGTAAACATTATTTTTGCGCGTATTATTATTGCTTACGAAGCAGTGTAAAAGTGAATTCAAACCTTATTATTATAATTTTTTTGTTTATTGCACTTGTAGGCAGACGAGCATACGGCCCACCTGATGATGAGTGGTTACCGTCGCCCATGGACTTCAAAAATGCCAGGGGCAGAGCCAAGCCGCTGCCTACCGTTAAATAATAGTATCATACGCTTAGGCCACTTTTGCACTGACGGTCTCAATATATTTCTCGCGTAACATTATGAAAAATTTAAAAGGTGTATAGATTCATAATGACCGCTGGCAATTAAGACTGTGTTATTTAATAATAACACATCTATATATTAATACGTGAAGGAAAAACTTTGTATCCCTTTTTACGAAAATTGCCCGGACGGAGGAGTATGAAATTTCGCACATTTATAGAGAATAAAGAGGAGTGCCGAATGGTAATTTTTTTTTTAATTATGCATTAAAAATACATAAAATCAATAAAGAAAACATTACACACAATACAGTGTATTTGACGCACACACGCATGCATACTATTTATTTATTGTCAAACTTTTGTTCTTGACATCTGTCAAATTGAGAATAGATTAAATATTGTTTGTCTTTATTAATATTTTTCTATAGTGTAGTCTTGGCGTAATCTGTGATTATAGAAGTATAAAAGTCTTTAACAATAGAATCATAATAGTGTACAAATTTATATTTCAATTAATTATAGTCGAATTTCGACTACCAGGGCATCACTAGTTTTATTAAGCAAGCGTCACGCCTGTGGAGACGTGCTGGTACCTACACAGTTTCAAGGCCGCATGAATTTCTAACAGAACGAAATCCACTTGGGACCGGTTAGCGAGAAAGCTAAAACCCATCCACGGTTTGATTTAACTGGAGTTCTTCGCCCACAGAATTTCCGCCGCAATCAATGAAAACCTCTCACGGGCGTGAAATCGGATTCCCACGATCGCAAAGGTTGTATGTTACCACCTCCGCTCGATCAATTGAAAAAAAAAAACTATTTCGTACATGAGATCGGTCTTTAATTAAAAATCTATTGTATTTACCGCGGGTTTCGTAAAAAGAAGATAATTATCATGATGAAAATTGAAACTCAGTTAAGTGTGGATGGTGTTTTGGACACGTTTCACGAACTTAACATAATATATCTCTTTAATATTATTAATGTATATTGATTATTAGACATGAATTGATTCTAAAGCCTATAGTAGCTAGAGTAAACTGATAAATTGTATGGTGTCGAATTGGTTACAGATCAGTGACGGTAGATGGCGCGATGATTGGAAGGGAAGGCCAATCAACGCTAATCGTTAACGTGTCGCTCTCAAAATGGCGATAGTTGAAAATTAATATATGATAATTAACTAAATATTATTAACGAAAACTAGTACATGTTTTCTTTCTTCTAAATCCGATCGACACAATGTTTATTTCGAAGGTGACCTGCGGTTTATTTCGTTAAATATGCAGGTAGGTGCTACTGTCTATACTATAGTTCGTGTTTGTTAAGTAATACACGTTAAATAAGTTGATAAAAGTGAGATTATGTTCTATTTCCATATAAGCGAAACTCATAACAATAGCGAACAAAGATAACAGAATGAAAATTGATTTGTGGTTATATACCGTGTTTGACGTATTAAAACATTTACAGTGCAAACGAAAATGTGCCTTGTGGCACGTATTTGTACGTACCGTAATCCCATTAGCGGCAGGTGGGGTACATGTTGGGCGCCAGCTTCGCTGCACCATTCGGGGTATGCGCGACGGAAGTCATCGAAGTCACCTGTTAATGAAATGTTTTTATGTTAAATTAAATTTGGTTTTTACAGCGCACTCTTGGGTCTGTGCGATGTTATTTAAGCTCTCAATCAAGGTGACGCACGGTATAAGCTGGGCGTGATTTTTTTTTTTCCTCCTTAAACTACTTTAATTGTTTGTGAATCAAGAATATTAGCAGCTGAGAGACGTTTTATCTTTGGGCAGCGGAGAATAAACAAAAAAACAAAACACAATTTATAATCGGAATGTTTCGCGAATGACCATAATAAACGTAAACAGTCTCCGATCACATTATTACGTCGATCGCCGAGATAAAAAAACAACTTCTAAAACACGTTACGCGCTCGCAATGGAAAAATCGGCAGCTATTGGTATTGTAATTACTAAACACGTGATAACGACCGAAGTAAATTCACGTAAGCTCGGGCCGCTAATTCGAACCAAGTACGTACGGTCCATTCACTGTTACATTGCATGCGCTTCATTGATATTTTTTTACATTCAATGGAATAGTCTGTTTGAACTGTAGCGGAATAGTAATGAGCGAAACCGAGACTATTGTTTTCCAACAATTGCTTTCAACGTTTGTTCTGTCAATGTTCGCGAGTGTTTTTATTAAAATATCGCTTTTTTTATTTTTTTTTATTTATTGCTTAGATGGATGGACGAGCTCACAGCCCACCTGATGTTATGGTTACTGGAGCCCATAGACATCTACAACGTAAATGCGCCACCCACCTCGAGATATAAGTTCTAAGGTCTCAGTATAGTTACAGCGGCCACCCCACCCTTCGAACCGAAACGCATTACTGCTTCACGGCGGAAATAGGCGGGGTGGTGGTACCTACCCGTGCGGACTCCCAACAGGTCCTACCACCAGTATTTACGCAAATTATAATTTTGCGGGTTTGGTTTTTATTACACGATGTTATTCCTTCTCCGTGGAAGACAATCGTGAACATTTGTTGAGTACGTATTTCATTAGAAAAATTGGTACCCGCCTGCGGGATACGAATGCACCGGACGTCTTATCTTTTAGGCCACGACGACTTTTTAATGTCTTCTTATTTGTGTATATTGTGCGAGCGCCTTCCGCTAGCTATTGGTTATTAGAAGGAAGGATTACTGGTGGCCCGAAGGCGTTTCCAGTTTCAACAGGACAGGTAGGCGAGTAAAAGCTCAGCCAGGAGGTATGGGATTTACTAACAGCTACCCGAGCGCTTCCAAAGGAGACCTAACAACTCAAGGGCAACTGCTTCGCGAATGAATCTTCTACCGGATCGAAATCAAACGTAGCATTGGTATATCGCTTACAGAAACATGCACAACGAAAAAATTTAGCCTCCAATTAGTGATGATTTACTAATATTGTTTTATGTAGGCTATTACGAACTTGGTAGTTTATAGATTCCGGATTCACTTTGCTCATAAAAGGTACCCCGTGAACTGTGTAAGCTCATAAAATTGTAGTGTAGAACAAATCGAATGCAATAGTTATACGTACAAACGCTGAAGTACGATACTTATGTTGTGTTTACTGTCATGATGTCAAAGTTTGAATCATATTAAAATAACGTCTAGCATTGTTAATAATAATATAAATAAGAAAGAACAAATTCCTTTGTGGTATGCATAATTTTTCCTTGAGTACATCGCATCACTTGAGATCGATATCTGCGCATTCATCATCATTCGTTGACCGTTTATTCACGATTCAGGGGATTCGATCGCGGAATGCACTACCGGCTGCGATGAGAAATGCGCCAACATTAAACCGCTTTAAAAGAATGATGAAGGAACATTATTCATTCCGCTTAGAGTCGTTTGTTTGTATACGTTTCACATTTTTGTTAAGAAGAAGAATTGACTGGTTTCGAGGTGAATTAAAGTAAACTAGTGGTCCCGCATTAGTCGAAATTCGACTATAATTAATTGAAATTATAAGTTTGAACCAATGATATTTTATATGTAAAAAGAAGCAGATATGTTTCAAGCGCACGTCAAGTGAAGACTCGAAAACAGGCCAATTGGGACGTTTCGTCTTTAGTCGCGTCTAAACAAATGCAATAATAATATAACAAGTGCAATCGTTCCAATTATAGCTATCTTTTTTACTCACGCGCTTATCCCATCTTTTGTACTTTTCATTAATGCTACTTNAAAAGGGAGAATTCCCTAAAAGTGGAAGCACTGCTTCAAAGTACGCTAACCTTTTTTATTGAGTCAGAACTCGTATCTGCCATCTAGTGAGTTTATTAGTTCATTAAGGCCAAAACGTTTCAAAAATGACCTCGCCGGTTCCTAAAGATGACGCTAGTTGAATGTTCTTTTCCTTTGTATGGGAGTTGCACCCCCCTGCACACACGCATGCATACTATTTATTGTCAAACTTTTGTTTTTGACGTCTGTTGTCAAATTGAGAATAGAATATGGTTTGTCTTTGTTAATATTTTTGGAGTTTACTCCTTTAGAATCGATTTACATATATAGGCCCGGGGTATGAAAATTATGGGGACCAAAATCGTACTAGCATGTCACACGAAATGCGTTATGCGCCTGATTGGCTCCTGATTGCGTGATGCGTACGCGCGCCAATCAGGAGCCAACGCGCGGCCGCGTTATCGCAGGTGACGCCGGGCTGCTGCGCCGGCAGTCCGCCACAAAGCCTCGTACTGATCGCGCGTTTCTCTCATTATTGTATTTTCATATATTTGTTAGTCGTTTGTTTTGTGTCTCGTTAATTTGTTAATAATCTGTAGTGTATCGTGTTGTCGTAATATAGAACTATTTCTCGTATTGTTTCGTTTAATTTTTTATATCCAGTAAACTCCAGTCGTGCGTCGGAGCGGACACACACACTTTTTTTATAATATAGTCTTGGCGAAATTTGTGATTATAGAAGTATAAAATACAATCTTATATAATAGTGTACAAACTTACAATTCCAATTAATTATAGTCGAATTTCGACTACTGCGGGACCTCTAGTTAATATAATAACGAAAGGAAAATTGTAACATAAATTGAAAGAGATATATAAATAGTTCGGAGTTAAATACGTTCTCAGCACCGTTGTCCTGTGCATGAGAGAAAGGGAAGACAGGCCAAAAGATTGGGCGCCACCCTTCGCATGGCATGAAGTTTTGTTTAAGAGTGCTTCTTACATTATAACATTCCTATTTTTGTTCGCTAATAACAACGGGAGACTTAAAATGAAGAAGGGCTTGTGAGATTAATTGTGATAAACCCTTAAAACCAAGTCTCTGAGACTCGAGTTGAACAATGAAATGAGTTCGCAGGCGTAAAGAGCTATTACAATCGCCTTTTGGTTTGATTCCCATTTTTTATTTTTTTCCTACCTAAGCTGGTAGCCTGGAGCGGCTATTGCAGCGTAACCGTGGCTAGTAGGTGAGCTCACGGGGCTCAAACCTGACGACGTTGCTAACACTGCCCCTAGCAAGAGTCGTGCTTCGCAGAATCTACCACCGGATCGGAAACGCGACCCACTGAGAAGATCCGGCGAGAAACTCAGTATGCTGTGTCTGAGAGTTAATTTACTCGTCGAGCCCTTCGTCGCAAGCGACGGGTTCGACGAGAACGGTGGCCGGTGCTTGAAGTACCTAAAAGCACCGTTAGTGGATCGGGAGGATCCGAGATGACGTAATTCCCATTATGCTTTGAATTAATCCATCAGATCTATTTTTTATTCTGGCAAACTCTAATATAATCTTTCTAAGTTGTGCAGTAGCAATAAAATTCATTTTTCCGGCGGACGCATACCGATGTTATCCTTCAGCATTTTCACGTTGTCGCTGAGGTTCTTCAGCTCTGTGTTCACCTCGTTAATGTAGTTGAATAGAGCGTAATTCTCTTCTTCTCGACGCGAGAACTCTTGGATTAACTTGTCGACGTCATTCTCTCCAGTGAATTCCTAGAGACAGAGGTTGTTCAACTTTTCAGGTGACAGTACAAGTAGCAGCCTCCATACTGTAAATACCACTATCTTCTGCAGAGGCGGCTTTACTAATGCGGCAGGGTGTGCGCTGCAGACGGATGCTGAGGCTTCCTAATTCTAATGACCCTATTACATTTGTACCTGTACAATTTTGACAGCGCGTTTACAATTTTTTATTTTAATTTTTTTTATTGCTTGGGTGGACGAGTTCACAGCCCACCTGGTGTTAATTAAAGTGATTACTGGACCCCATAGACATCTACAACGTAAATGCGCCACCCACCTTGAGACATAAGTTCTAAGGTCTAAACTATAGTTACAACGGCTGCCCCACCCTTCATACCGAAACGCATTACTGCTTCACTGCAGAATTAGGCAGAGTGGTGGTACCTACGCACGCGGACTCACAAGTGGTCCTACCACCAGTAGTAGGGTAATTATTATTATTATTAGTATTAAGATGGTAGGACAATTATTGCACACGGGCGTTAGATGGGTTAAAGACGCCTTTCGCCCTGGATACCTGAGATCTAACAATCTAATTGCACTGCACTGTTTTAAAAATTTCAATCTGTCTCCTCCGGAACACTCAAAAGTGACTGAGAATTTTTCGTGATGGGCTAGGCTCTCCAGCGTCATTGGATCCTCTAATAGGGGGGCGGGTGTTGGTCTTCACATCGTGATGCTTATGGCCTTCACAAATCGCTTAAAACAAAGGGCTAGCACGTGTGCTTATCAATAATAATCAACAAACCGAAACACTGATTAGAGTATTCAATCACAAATTTTTTTAGTGGAGAATATTTAACCTTAATAGCATCTAAAATGTTGATGTAATTGTTGTATGTCCTCATTTCCTCTTCCTGCTGCTCCAGTCTTTTGGCCTCGGCCTTCGCGTCGGCCGCTGTGAGTCTGACAGTGCCCTTAGTACGCAGGAACTCCTCCAGTTTCATGCTGTGATCCAACTGTCGTTGAAGCTCCCGCACTTCCTATAAATTTAACATTGAACTGTTATCAAATTTGCTAAACTTTGAAAACAATTGCTGAAAAAGCTCATACCTATATCAACATATCGTAAAACTGGTG